GTGTGTGTGTGTGTGTGTGTGTGTGTGTGTGTGTGTGTGTGTGTGTGTGTAATACATGCCTTTAATTGCCCCACTTGGGAGGCAGAGGCAGAGGCATAGACGGGCAGGTCTCTGAGTTCCAGGCCCGCCTGGTCTACATAGTGAGACCCCCTTCTCAAATAACAGGTGCCGAGGAGATGGCAGTAAAAGCGCTTGCTGGGCAGCTTTCCTCGTGCAGCCCTGCCCCAGTGCAGGAGGGTGGCGGGGGAGCAGGGGAGAGCTGGAGAGCTGCTGGGGCTTGCTGGCCACCAGGCTAGCTCCAGCTTCAGTGAGATATCCTGTCTCAATAAGACAGAACAACAGAGCGAGACACCTGACGTCCTCCTGGGGCCTCACACATACGCCCCCCCCCCCCCAACACACACACACAGAGGAGCTTTAGCAATGTCTTAGTACCCATGAGGACACTGAGGCCCAAGCGATGGTGACACAGCCAAGATCATGCTGTTGGTGAGAGCTTTAATCCCTCGGCCCGAAATCCTATCCCTGTTCTGGGCTGCAGTTTCTGTCCTGGGGCTCTCAGCCGGGGGAACCCACCCTTGGCCACCCCTCCACGCACCGCTGGCCCAGCCCTCTGCACCTGGAGTTACCCGGATGATGGTGAGCAGCTCGTCCCTGTCTATGCACCCGTTGCCGTCCACGTCGTAAAGCTTGAAATACCAGCGCAGCTTCTGTTCCACCTTGCCCTTGAGGACCAGGCTGAGGGCTGCCACGTACTCCATGAAGTCAATGTAGCCATCCTGGGTGAGGGGAGAAGGGAGAGGCGGGGTGAGCGCACCGGGACTCCGCCCACCCCACTCAGAGCCCCGCCTGCTCCAGCCAGAGCTCCCCCCCCTCCCCCTTGACTCCTGTCGCTGAAAGCCCTCAGACGCTGAGCAGAAGGCAGCAGCGGCCACGGCGCCCAGCTCCCTTGTACCACGAACATCTGTCTTTCTGAACACTTCAACATTGCCCGCCTCTCTTCTTCCTCAGAGGCTGTCAATCAAGCCTGTTAGAACCATCCCTGCTGAGACCCTTCCCGTAGCCTGAGCAGGTGGGAGAAGCAAGAGCACCAGGCAGGGCTGGGCGCTTTTGAGTTGCTGGCCTGGCAGGTAGGGGCAGGAGGCCCACATAAAGGCTCTTTCCTCTAGGCTTCAAGCTCCGCTGAGCCCCGCTGTATGCTGAGAAAGACCGTAAGAACTCGAAGCTTGCGGAACAGTTGCGATGGTCTGACAGAGGCGCCGTGCTGGCGGTGCGGGTTTGACTCCAGCCTCCTCAGCCCAGAGTTTTAGGAAGCAAAAAAAGACTTAGCAAGTCCCCTCTACAGCTACCAAACTTCCTGATCCGGATTAATGGCAGCGGTTCCGACTGTCCGGATTGCTTCTGATGAAACAACTCCCTGCAGCGTGAGCATCCGGCACAAGCCAGTGCGTAGCGAACTTGTTTCGTTTCCAGACAGGGTTTCTCTGTGTAGCCTGGAACTCATTCTGTAGACCAAGCTGGCCTCAAACTCAGAGATCCACCTTCCTCTGCTTCCCACGTGCTAGGATCAAAGGTATATGCCACTATACCCAGCTCTGTTGTTTGTTTTCTTAACAAAAAAAAAAAAAAAAAAAAAGATTTTTGTTTAGGTGTCTGTGTGAGTGTTTGCCATATGTACATATGCTCTTGGAGGCTGGAAGAGAGAGCTGCCTCCCCTGGAACTTAAAAGTCAGTTGTGAGCAGCCTGGTGTGGGTGCTGGGAACCAAACTCTGTTCCTCTAGAAGAATGGCAAGCGCTCAGCAGCACAGCCGCTGAGCCTCCTCTCCAGGATTTCTCCTCACTGTGACTAGTACAAAGGCACTATGGTGAAGGGGATGGGAGAGATGGCTATGCCACCACAATGCAGTCAACACCTGGACAGGACATTAGAGAATCACCTATTCTACTGGGCAGGACAGGAGGAGTTTAGATGGTCCTTTGAGAGAGGTGATAATTCCACTGAGTCTTGAAGGGGTCGATCACGGAGGAGCATGAGACCTCCATAGGTCACAGGAAGTACATCATCAGGCAAGCATCCTCCCACTCAGCTACGTCCCCAGCTCAAGAAGCATAAGACCTGTTTGTAGGACAGTCCTCAGGGCCCCTGCTGCCCAACCCCATTTCAAGGGAGGGTGAGAGCGTCAGTCCCTGCTCCTCCATTTACAACCAGGACTCGAACCAAGAGGTTCAAGCAGGAGGCTCTGAGCTGGAGATGAAGAAGCCTGTGGCAAGCAGGGCTGCCTGAGGGAGGGCCATCTGAGCCAGCCAATGACTCTCTGTCACTGGATGCAGGCAAGCGAAGCTGGCAGGGATGTGGCCCAGCCGGGGCAGGATGGCCACTGAGATCCCCTGGCCTGTTCAGCCTTTGGCCTAAAGCAAGGCCTTGACCGCCCTGAGCAACACAGCAAGGATCAGGCCCACAGTGAACATCTGGGTGACACTGACTTGTGTTGAAGTCATACCCAGCTTAGCTCCTTCCATCCTTCCACCTTTGCTCAAGAGCCTCCCAGGATGGTCCTCAGGATGGAGCGACCATGCTTGGAGAAGTGAGAAGACTGTTTGATACACAGTGATAAATAAGCAGGGTCTTGTGATGTAGTGCAGGCTGGCCTCAACCTTAGGATCTTCCCGCCCTGGCTCCCAGATGCTGGAGGAAGAGTGTGTGTCCCTAAGCCTTACTACCTTGACTTTCACTTTTTGTCTTCTCGTGTTGCTAGACATTTTTACAAGGAGTTATATTACTGTTGTAATTTTTTACTGACTACAAAGAAACGATGAAAAAGCCAAAAGAGCAAAGCCGCCTCTTGGGAAAGGCTTGACCTTGGGCAAGCCACAGAGCTTCACTGTGTCCTCAGTTTCTCATCTGAGCTGGGAAAGGCAGTATGAAATTTCAGTATTGTGGCATGGAAAATAACTTATGAAGCTGAGGCAGGAGGATTGTTTTGAGTTTCAAGTCAGACTGTTACATAGTGAGTACCAGACCACAGACATACATCTCAAAAAATAATTTAAATGCATGAGATGTGAAACCGATTCCTCTCAGTAATAGCACAGGTGGTGTGGTGTGGTGGTGGTGTATGTGTGTGTGTGTGTGTGTGTGTGTGTGTGTTTGTGTGTGTTTTCATGCCTGTACTTTTGGAGACAGAGGTTGAAGTTGGGTGTCTTCCTCTATTGCTCTCCATATTATTGTTGGGACAGAGTCTCTCACAGAGCCTGGAACTCACTGACTCAACTAAACTTGCTGGTGAGCACCAGGGAGCTACCTACCTCTGACTCCCAGGGCTAATGCTACAGTTATGCACCCAGCTTTTTTCGCGGGTGCTGGGGATCAAATTTAAATCCTCACACTTGCCCGGCAAGCACTGTACTGGCTGAGCTATCTCCCTAGCCTTCAGTCTTATTTGTTTGCTGGCCCAGGAGCCAGGGCGGGAAGATTCTGAATTGGAGGGTTTCTCTGTGTGACCTTGGCTGTCCTGGACTTGCTTGTCGAAGAGGCTGGCCTCGAACTCACAGAGATCTACCTGCCTCTGCTTCCTAGAGTGCTGGGATTAAAGGCCCTTAATCTCTTTATTCCACGAACACCCTGTGCTGAGAATTTTGCATTGCTCATTTTATCCTACAGTCACTCCCAAGAGTTGTCCATTTCTGTCCCGGTTCAAGCTGACGAAGCCACACAAATAATTGAATGACAAATCCTTGCCTGGAAACTGGGTCTTCTAAATTCTACACCGGCGCTTAGACACAGGCTGTAAGGGCAACACGGATCTGTGTGTGGCATGATGACCCTACACAGACATGCCCTGGAGAGATGAGCAGGAGAGCAGGGCCAGGCTTCTTCTTTGGCTGCCTGGTTTGGTTGCCCCGCTTCTGTGTATCTGGCATAGCGCCCTGGTCCCTAGCCATCTCCTCACTGAAATGACTAATTCCTTTAAAGGAGTCAGATGAATGACTGCAGTCAAGCAGCAGCCAGCCACTGTGATTTCAGCATAGCCAAGACAAATTTTTTGATAGCCCTTGGGATAGAACCCAAGCCTTTTTAGAGGACAGCCTCTAAGCTTGGCTGGTCGTGAACTCCCTATGTCACCAGGATAACTTGGAATTTCTAATTCTCCTGCCTCTTGGCTATAAAGATTACAGCTGTGCGCCCTCACAGCCAGTTCATGTGGTGAACTGAATCCCAAGCGTGCTGTGCAAACGCTCTACCAACTAACTGAGCTACGTCCACCACACTCGGCCTGGAGCAGACTAGGCCAGCATCCCAGCATCGAGCTATAGCCCAGCTCTACACTTCCTAGATAAATGGTTATGGTATAGGTTCTTGGATAGCGAGGCGTGGTGGCACGTACTTGTAACTCCAGCAGGAAAGAGACAGAGACAGGAGGCTAAGACACAGTTCAAGGCCAGCCTTGAACTGTATAGTGAGAGTCTGCTGCAAAATCAGAAGCAGGGCTGAAGGAGTAGCTTATTTGGTAGGACGCTTGCTGAGGTAAAAACCAGAGCACAAGCCAGGTGTGGTGGTGCACAGAGGAAGGGGGCTCAAAGGGTCACAGTCAACCTCAGCCACTGGAATGACTCTAAGGCTAGCCTAGGCTACTGACACCCTGTCCTCAGGCTGTCATTTGAACACCTCTGCTTTGAAAGTGATCGGGGCTGTGTCCTATCTCAAGGGCAGGCTGTTAAACAGTCCTGTGCTGGTGCCAAGGCATGAAGGTCAAGATAGGGTGGCTCACGGAGTAATTGAATACGCTGGTGTGAGAAGCCATATCGGGTGTTATACAGACTCTGTGTGTGTGCACACGAGACAGAGAGAGAGAGAGTGTGTGTGTGTGTGTCTTCTGCCAATCTCATTATACAGCTCAGGCTGGCCTTAAACTTGTGGAGATCCTCCTGCCTCAGCCACCTAAGTACTGAAATTATAAGCCTGAGCTACCATGCCTGGCTATGTCCCTCATCACTTAATTGCATAATTAAAATAATAAGTTCATAATTAAATTAATGTATATTAGAAAGTATAATATACCACAATAATATTTTAATGTAATAGATATTATAATGCATATTGTATTATAGATCATAATCTAATATTATAATGTAATATTATTATTATATAATGTATATTCTAATGAATATTAGCCATAAAGCTCAGTGTTCTCACACATTCACTTACTCATATAGCTAATACTTAAGAAGCACCTACTGTGTTCCAGGCACTAGCCACAGCAATAAAGAAGACAAGTTTCCGTCCTCACAAAGCTCACATATCAGCATGGAGAGTCAGACCAGAGGGGTCAGGGTTTTCTGGCATCAGAAAACAAGGAATTGAATGAATGAATCTAAACATATGAATTAATAAAAAATAATTTTTAAAATTTCATAAATGTACAGCGTGTTTGCCTTCATGCCTGTCTGTGTACCACAGGCATGTGTTTCCTAAGGAGACCAGAAAAGGGAGTTGGATTCCCAGCAAGGGGAGGTTGTTAGCCACCATATAGGTGCTGGGAATAGAATCCAAGTCCTTCGAAAGAGCATTGGTGGCGGACGCCTTTAATCCCAGCACTTGGGAGGCAAAGACAGGTGGATCTTCAGGTTTGAGCCCAGCCTGGTCTACAGAGTGAGTTCAGGATAGCCAGGGCTACACAGAGAAACCCTGGTTTAAAAAAAAGAAAGAAACAAGAAGAGAGAGAGAGAGAGAGAGAGAGAACTGCTCTGGGTAGAAAGCCATGGCTAGGAAAGGCAGAGATGGGGCCAGACCCATTTTCTCAATAAATGTAAGCTGGGAAGCCAGGACGTGGGTTGGTGAGAAGGTCTGAGCAGAGATTTCTAACAAGGATGGTGGAAGCCAGCAGGTTCTAGAGGAACAGGGTTCTAGCCCCACAAAGGCCCAGGTGAAGGTGTGCAGGGTCATGAGAGGGCCAGGTTGGGTAGAGACAAGAAGTTGGCGGACGTTTCTGTTGGTTTAGGGGTCTGGAGCATGGGGGCAGGGTTTCATGCATTCCAGGCTGTTAACTGTGAAGCAAGAATGACCTTGAACTTCTTCCTGCCTCTACTTTCCAGGTGTTAGGATTGGAGCCTACAGCACCATGCCCAGGCACTTACTTTGAGTGAAAAGCAAAGGACTGAGTTCCCGACAACACATGTGAGGGAAACTGAAGCCATGGCACACAGAGTCACAAGGGTTACGTGAAGATGGGGAAGCTGGACTATGTGTGGCTTGAAAAAAAAAAATCCTCCCTCATCCAAGTCTTGACCCAAAGGACTTTCCTTAGCAGGTGGAGACAGAATGTGTTCAGGGTGTTGGAGGTAGGTGCTAGGGCCCCTCCCAACCTGGCCAGGAGGGACCACTGCTTCCCGCTGGAGCACTTCCTGTGTCCATCCTGGTGACTCCTTCACCTTGCCACCCTATCTCAGGCTCTGTGGCTCAGCTCTCCTCCGGAAAAGCCCTTGGACCCAGGACACTGCCCTTGAGCTGGTCCTTTAGCCCATAATCCGATTCAGCCTCTTAACTCACGTATTAGCGAGTTTTAAATAACCACACAAAGATCTTGTTGATACCTGGAAGCCCCCAGCACAGTGGTATTTTTGAGGGGAGAGGCTCCCCCTGCCACAGTGGGCATGTGACCGACACCACTGAGAGACCTCATGTCCCAAGTGAGGGGCCAGACCCGCTGGGAATCAGCAGACAGAACACAATGGGGGAGGGGAGCAGGTCTGGGGGTTTGGATTCGCCATCATTACACCTGACTGTTCTAGATAAATGGCAGCTTCCGAGGAGCATCCAGGGATCTCTGGGTGAGCATCACACCCGCCCAGGACCAGCACCTTGGGCTGCTCAGTGGCCATCTTGGAAGCGCTCACACCTGTCTTGGAGGCCACTGAGAGGTGTGTAGTGTGTGGACCGAGACCCCTTTGCATGCAGCCTCTGATTGTTTTGTGCTGTGGGTCTGGGTTATTGCTGAACCCTCAGGGCCTAATGAGCTTCTGCTGAATCAAACCTCCAAGTCCGCCTTTCAAACAGACAAGATGCTGGGAAAACCAACTGCCTCAAGCTCCCTGGTAGCTGACACCGGGCATGTAGATTATACTCGTATTTCTAACAGCTAGGAAACCAAGGCAGGAGGATCACCGTGGGCTGAAAACAAGCCGTGGCTCTGCAATGAGATTCAGCCTCAAAAACCATGAAAACCTGATCTAGCTGTTATGGTGGACCCTTCTTTTTCCCTTCCTTGTTCGCTCTTCCTTACCCTCAGGCTGCTCCTGCTTCCGGAGGTACCCCCCCCCCCCAAGAATCACGCCCTTCCCGCTCCTCCCTCCCAGTCTCTGCCCACCTTGTTGAAGTCAAAGGTCTCGAACATCTGTTCCACATACTGGCTGGCTGAGGGGCTCAGGTTCTTGAGGCCGAAGAACTGGCGGAATTCGTAGAGGGTGAGCTGGCCAGACGGGCACTCCGTCATGAACTTCTTGTACCACTGATGGCATTCGGTGCTGCTCAGCTCCTCCACGGACTTGCCTTCCATGACGTTACCCATGGTCTGGGTTCACGAGAGACTGATGCCCTGGGTAGACAGGCAGGTCCTGCTGCACCAGGGTAGCTCGGCTTTCAGGAGACTGACCTCCCTCCTCACCGGCCTAAGCAGAGGCAGCCTGGTAGGCCGGATGGTGCAGACAACTGGAAAGGGGAGCTGAGCAGGCCGTAACTGGCATCCAAACTAGGGACACCAGAGGGCTGCTATTAAAGGTGAGAGGATTCTCCTTACCCAGTTTGCAGTCTGCTAATCCTTCCTTAGCAGGATCCCGCGAGTAGCTGGCCAGCTGCTCTGATCCTATGACCTCCTTGCCCTTCTCATCCTACTGGATCCACAGTGCTCTGGCTCTTGCCTTCACACTAGATCTAGTTCCTCTCCCAGACTGAGGCCACGCTGGGCCCTTACTGGGCAGTGATGTGCAGCTGTTCAGACGTATACTATCCTTGGGTGTCACTGAGGGGTCCGATGACACGAGGGCTGTGGTGTGGGCTCAGAGTTTAGGAAGCTTCTGAGATGTGTCCTCAAGAGCCCCTGACGGCAGACACTCAGATCTTACGCTATTTCTTCTGGATTGAAGTACTCCCTCCCAAAGAGAAGGAGAGAGGACCGTGAAGCCCCCGAGAAACAAGATTCAAGAGGCCCCTACCAGGGGTTGTGTAAGTAGCAGGCAGTTGCTGAGGGAGAGGAGACCCTCACAGTTGCTCAGCAAGCTCAAAGGATGAAGCTTTTGTGAGATTCATCACCCTTGGTCGGGTTTTCAGTGACAGAGCTGCCCATGTCATCCACACTCCTCTGCACGTTCGTGTGACAGATGACAGCGGGACAGACCCTGCCCCACTCTCTGAAAGCAGTTTATAAAGGCAAACTGTAGCGCTCTTTTTTAAACTCTACTTTATTTGGGGTGTTTAGGCCTCAACCTCCCTTCCACCAACCTCCACCCCAACCTTAAGTAGGAGAGAGGAGGTTAGTGGGGAGAGAGGGCCCCTTTACTTCTGCCAGCTGTTTGGGGTCACGGGGTTCTTTTAGGGCTCTCTACCAATCTCCACCAACCGCAGATGTGGTCAGCAGTCCCCTTCAAGCTGCTGCACCCCGGACCGTTTCTCTCTGTCTGTCTGCTCCAAACTGCCACACTGTCCGTCTCTCGGGTCTCTCCAAACTGCCACAGGCCAACACCGAATGCAACACCTTCTCTTTCTCAGCTCTCATCTTTCTATTCTCAGGGGCTACCCGCCCCTCTTCATGCCGAAGGTGGAAGGCCATTACCATCTGGCAAAAGCCGTGCCACGCACAAGACAATTAACAGGTGTGGGCAAAGGATAGCCCAACTAAAACCCCACACTTGGGGTTAAAACAAAAGTATGTTTAACTGAGTTTACCAAATAAATAAATAAATAAAATACAATAAATTAAAAAAAACTTTCATTAACAGCAAACTCTTGAGTGTCTTTAAAATTTCTAATAGCATCTGTGAAACCAGAAATTAGAGAGTTTGAACAATGGCACTCAGCATGGGTGGAAAACGTCACCAGCCAGGAGCCATAAGGTTGTTGAGTAAAAATCTCAGTGCCATGGGTAGGCTAGTTTTCAGGAGACCCCACAGGGCATCCAAGCCTGCCAGTGCTGTGGGCTGCATCCCCAGAACTGGATGGCAGATCCTGGGGCTAAAGGCCTGTGTTTTGGTGGTGGGTGTGGAGAAGCCAAGCAGGGCCTGAGCTGGAGCGTCCTCTGTCTGGCTTGTGACCCAGGAGAAACTGCTCAGGCTGCGGGAGCAGAATCGTCAATCGTCCTGCAAGCTACACTGCTGTGCTGATTGGAGGGTGAACGGTCCCCTGAGGGCTGTGTCCCCAGCTGTTTGGGAAGATTGGGTCTTTGAGGAGAGGAAGCCTTGCTGGGAGAAGAGTCACCAGGGTGGGCCTTGGGGTTTAACGGCCTGGCCCCGCTTCCTGTTCCTGGCATATGTGTAGGAGAAGTGACAGGCACAACAAGGTGTGAAGACCAGCTGTATCTCAGCCATTCTGTTTGCTAATTGGTGGCACACACACACACACACACACACACACACTACACATACCATACACACAGACACAAACACACACACCACACACATATCACACACATACAAACACACACCACACACATACCATACACTCACACACCACACAAACATACCACACACACACACAGATAAAAATGTAATTAAAATATTTGAAAATACATAAAAATCGCCTGTTCTCGATAGTGATTGATAAGTAATATGTGTTATTCACATAACACCAAGGGTAGTTATTTTTTGATGAAGAACCAATCAGGTCTGTTTTATATCTGTTCTCCCTAAAGGATGTGTTGGTTTGTTGTTGTTAAAGATTTATTTATTATGTATACAACGTTCTGTCTGCGTGTACACCTGCAGGCCAGAAGAGGGCACCAGATCTCATTGTAGATGGTTGTGAGCCACCATGTGATTGCTGGGAATTGAACTCAGGACCTCTGGAACTCTGGAAGAGCAGATAGTGCTCTTAACCTTTGAGCCATCACTCCAGCCCCCAAGGGTGGGTTTAAGGTACACAAAGGCAGGGGTCCCCAGCTTTGATTGTGTTCAAAAGGCTTGTCGTAGAGGGGCTGTCCCCAAATCTCAGCCCAAATCATCTCTCCCTCAGCACCACTGGCATTTCTGGTGCTGTAGGAGACTTTCGCACTGCAGAATAAATTACCACAATGCAGCAGCTTGAACCTACGCACACTCACTGTCGCTCTGTCCCTGTGGCCCAGGGTCTCACACGCCGCTGTCAGTAGGCTGTGCTTCCATCAGGGTGCAACTGAAGGGCAGGCTCTGGCTCTTTGGAGTTGGGGGCAGGATTCCCTCCCTTGCTGCTGTGTGACCGGGGCTCTGGCTCTTTGCTGGGTGTTGTCTGAGGAGTGTCCTCCAGTTGGCTAACTGGAGGTCTTATGCAAAGTAGCCTCTGCTAAGACAGTGACATTGGGGCTGGAGAGATGGCTCAGTGGTTAAGAGCCCTGTCTGCTCCTCCAAAGGACCGGGGTTCAACTCCCAGCACCCACATGGCAGCTCAAAACTCTCTGTAACACCAATTCCAAGGGATCTCACACCTTCACACTAATGCACATAAAATTAAATAAATCATTAAAAAGAAGAAAAAGCCAGTGACGTGCCATCACCTCTGTCACATTCTATGGACTCTGTGGAATGAAGTCACGGGCCTCGCCTCACCAACCTCCCAGGGGAGAAGACTGTACAAAGACAGGACACGGGGAGGTGGACATCACCAGGGCTTCTTTAGGCTCTGTGGCAAGTGTTGCCATTGGACAACAATAGAGACACAGCACTGTTCCTTCTGGAACTGCAGCTGTGTGGCCAGGCTGCGCGTAGAGCCTTGTAGAAGGCAGCCATCTGTCAGTCACCTCTGTGCCTTCCAGTCTGTGTGCTCACAGGCTAGCTACTCCCCTTCACACACACTGTGTAGCCCTAAGCCTCGGGCACTGATCCCCAAACACTGACACACACACACAACACACACCCATCACCTGGCTCTCTCCTGTCCTCCGACTCTCAGCTGTGAAGGTGGCGGGAAAGATGGGCTGGGCATCACTGCCTTCACTCCTTGATGCTGCGGGGTCACTGTATGGAGAAATGGACTCTCTCCTGGGTCCAGCCCCAATGCTTGAGATCCTGTGGCAACAGTTCCTCCCTTCCCTCAGCAGGTGTGATGAATGTGCCCCTCGGCTGCTCACTGGAAGCATCACTACTCTAGAACCCTGCCCATTTCCCTGTTCTCATTCAACGCTCCTCAGGGATTTTTTTTTTTTTTTAATGTGTGTGGGTGTTTTGCCTGCATGCACGTCTGTGCACTGTGTGTGTGTGTGCCAGAGGCCAGCAGTGGGTGTGAGATCCTCTAGACTGAAGTTAAACTGTTGTGAGATGCTGTGCGGGTGGCTGGGAACCAGATGAGGTCCTCTGGAAGAGCAGTGAGTGCTCTCAACCACTGAGCCGTCTCTCCAGACACCTTGATTAATGGGTTTTTTTGAGAGAAACGTTTCGATTTGTTTAGCTGGGAATTGAAGCTGGGGTCTCACGTGTGCTAGGTGGCCACTGAGCCACCTCCCCGGTGTCCTTTTACTTTCTGAGATGAAGTGCCCAGGTTGTGAATCTCCTGCATCTGCCTCAAGTGTAGACTCCTAATTGACACAACAGAGTCCTGAGCAAACTGTTAATCCTGGGATTAACACACCCCATCCCGCTGGGACTTTAGGGAGCTTGCCCCACCCCCACCCGGTCTCCCTCCCCCTCATTTACTAATTTTACTCACTTTATATCCTTGCAGTCCCTTCCCCCTCCCCTCCCAGTCCCACCCACCCTCTCTTCCTCCCTTCTCCCCCTCCCCTTTCTGGAGCTCCCTTTCTCACCAATCCCAGCTCATCAAGCTGCATCTCGACTGAATGTACCTCTCCGCCTGTGGCCTGGCAAGGCAGTCCTGCCAGGAGGAAGTGATCTAAAAGCTGGCAAGTGAGTCCCTGTCCAATGCAGTCCCCACTTCCCTTCCTAGAGGACCCACTTGAGGCCTAAGCTGCCCATCTGTTACATCTGTGTAGGGGTCTAGATCCAGCCCCTGCATGGTCCTTGGTTGATGCTTCTGTCTCAGCAAACCCATCTGGGCCCTGGTTAGATGGCTCTGCTGTTTTTCTTGTGGAGCTCCTGTCACTTCCAGGTTCTTTTTTCTTTCTTCCCCCTATTCCCCAAGACTCCCTACACATGGACCAATGTTTGGCTGTGAGTCTCAGCCTCTGACATCCTCTAACTAGACTAGTCTTTAGTATAGGGCAAAGAACACCAACCCACGCACAAAAACTTTGACCCAAAGTTTACCCTGCCTAGGAGATGTGCAGGGATAAAGATAGAGCAGAGACTGAGGGAATGTCCAACCGATGCCTGGCCCACCCTATTGGAGAGTGCCAACCCCTGACACTATGAACCATGCTCTGCTAAGCCCGCAGACAGGAGCCTGACAAGAGTTGTCCTCTGAGAGGCTCTATCTAGCAGTGCCTCAGAGCAGATGCCAAGACTCAATAGCCCAACACTGGGCGATGCGGACAGCTTTCTTAAAGTGGGTCCTGGAGGGCTGCACTTCCCAAATGAGGCTCCAGGGGGCGCAGAGGCTCTGGCTCAGGGAGATAAAGGAGACCCTGCCATGTGCAAGTCCTACCGTCTGGTCTGGGAAGGCACAGATGCCGCTGCTGGCAGTTTCTCTGCCTCTCAGAGACCCAGTTCTCAATGTTGTGAGAAGATTTTTTTAAAATAAATAATTAAGACCCCTAATTATACACAGACTGAACACAGCACTTATCTTTGATGATTCTCTGAACACCACCAAGACAGCAACAAATGATTTTTTTAAAAATACAAGTCCCAAGAGAGTAAGGCAGAAGAGATGAGTATAGCAGTGTATGCCTGTAATCCCAGCACTCAGGAGAAGCTGAGGCAGGAGGATGGCAAGTTCCAATACAGTATGGGCCACAGCAAGATCCAGGCCAGCCCGGGCTACAAGATGGGACCCCCACCTCAAACAAACAGGGCAGCCAGAAAGTTGGGAGATGCTGAGAAAGAAAAAACTAGTGATTAGAGTGGAGAACACTGACACCTCCATGTCCTCAATGAAGGAAAGAAGATGAGTACAAACACAAATCTAATCCTGCCTCAGAGGTCTAGGGCTCAAAAAGGAAATGTGCCAGAACCCCCCTGGAGGCAAGTCAGGGATGATGAATGAGAATCTGCAAGACTTACAAGCACAGAGATGCCCCAGCCTACAGGCGCAGTCTGGGGTGGAGGGGAGGACCCTCTGAGATGGGGGCAAAGGACAAGTTTGTAGACCAAGTCCTGATAAATGACCACCCCACTCCTTCCCGCACCAGTTCCTAGACTGGCTAGCGGGCAGAAGGGTTGCAGGAGGCTTGGTTTCAGCCAGGGTCAGCCGGCACTGCAGGAAAGCCTTGAAGTTGAATAAGCGTTCACAGTAAGCAGCTGGCAGCCCAGGTGCCTCATGCTGGGCCTTTCCCCCTCCTCTCTCTAGGGTCCTTTCTTCTCTCCCTCACCATACCCTGCCCCTCCTTAGTCCAGCCTCAAGCTCTGTGTACAGTAGCCATGCTCTGCTCAATGTGCCGCTACTAGAATTCACGACAGAGTCGTAACCACAAATAAGCGCAGCCGGGTGCACCCAGGTGTTTTTCCATGGCATAAATAATCTCTTGATGGCTGATTCCATAGGCACGGAAATCACAGAATTGAAAAGAGAGCAACACAGTTAGGGCTGGAAGGCCAGCACAAACATCTCCCAGGCCATCTGTGGGCCTAGTGGTCTCTGCCTTCCCTCCCCTCTTCTCATGACCCATAAGACTTGCAAGTCTCAGCGGGGTGGCTGTGGAGCTCACCTTTAACCCCAGCACTGGGGAGGCAGAGGCAGGTGGATCTCTGTGAGTTTGAGGCCAGCCTGGTCTACAGAGTCAGTCCCAGGACAGCCAAGGCTACAAAGGAAAACCCTTTCTCAAAAAAGAACCAAAAACTTGTAAGTCTTGCAGTTAACTATTCTGGATCATATGAGAGAATAAGAATGAGGGCTTCAACCCTAGCAAAAGCCACGAGTCAGAAGCCCGGGATGGTGGTATACCTGTCTCAGGAGACAGAGTCAAGAAGATTGTGAGTTCAAGGTCAACCTAAACTACACAGTGAGGTTAAGGCCAGCCAGCTCTATACAGCAAAACTCTCAAACAAACAAACAAACAAACAAACAAACAAACAAACAAACAAAAACAGAAACAATGAACCTGGCATGGTGGTACACACCTTTTTTCCCTGCACTCTCCTGAGGCAGAGGCCTACAGATCTGTGAGTTCCAGGCCGGCCTGGTCTATCTAAGAGTTCCAGGGTAGTCAGGACTACATAAAGAGAAACCCTGTCTCAAAATACAGAAACAAAAGCAAAAATAAACAACAACAAAAAGCCAGAAACAGTTAGGAATGTAGCTTAATTGGTAGAGGGTGTCTCTAGCATGAATGAACCCCTGAATAAGCCAGGAGTCTTGGTGCATGCTGGTGATCCCATTCTCTGGGAGGTTAGGCAGGAGGGTCAGAAGTTCAAGGTCATTGTCAGCTACCTAGCAAGTTTGAGACCAGAAGGAACTTTGTAAAATTCTGTCAAGACAAAACAAAAGTTGTTTGTTTTTTACAGGAATGGTTACTAGGAACTTGTTTTCGGGGCTGGGATTTAGCTCAGTGGCAGTGGTCTAGCAATCGAAAGGCCCTAGGGTCGGTCCTCAGCTCTGAAAAAAAAAAAGCTTGTCCATTTCCTGCATCTATCTCCATTCTCCTGTGGTTGTTACAGTCTGGGGTAAGACGAGCTCATGATAGAATAGGATCCATACATAGCTGGCTTTTTTTAGCTTTCAGAGGCATTTTCAAGGTTGGCCTGTGATTGGAACACTGGGCCCAGCACTGACTGACACTTGGGCCTTAGAAAAGCATATTTTTGGGGACAGAGGGACTAAAAGCAAATCCTTCCAGAGTTTCAGGCCCCTCTGGAATTCACTCCACATGCAGCAGCCTTATCCATTTAGATACCAGGAAAAGGAAGGACAAATTTTATTGCTGTTGAGAAGGGGTCCCTCTGGCATCACGGCTAGCGCAGGTAAACACTGCTCCTCCAGGAATGAATGGCCCTTCCCTCTCGAACCCAGGGCCACTGGGTGAAGGTGCAGGGTGGGGACTTGAAAATCGACCTAGGTTCGCCACAAGATCATGTTTGCCGGAGGAACTTTAAACCTTTTGCGGGTGTTGTCAGTTTCCCTGCAATACAGGTAGCCACAGGTGGGCTTCTGGAAGGTGTAGAAGGGATTCAGAGAGTTGGCATAGCAGGGGGTGTAGAATTTGAACCTGATATTGTCCAGGCTCTGCCCCCGAGGGCCCACCACTACTGGAACATAAGCTGTCATCAGAGATTGCTCATAGTCCCGTTTCCACTTTTGGGACAATGGTGGCGGTGGCACCTTCACCTCTTTGCCTGATGGAATCTTTTTCTTATGCCTGGTGACTGAGGATTGCTTCGAGTCCTAAGAAAAGAAAAGAAAAGAGAGAGTTGGCAGAGTCCCCCGAAGCCACCCTGGAACACAGCTCTGCTTGCCAAGATGCCAGGGCTTCCAGAGAAGGGGAAAGCCTGCAAGCCCATCCAGCTGGCCCTGTCCCTGCAGACTTCTGCCTAATTATCAGAGGCACCTGCCAGCCCAGAAGACAGGGAACCTGGTGCTGGCTTCAATGCCGTTCTTCCTCTCCTGCAGCAGGTCAGCGCTCCTCCCCATGGCTCTGGAGCGGTGCTCCCTCCGGCTCCAGACACTCAGACCTCAGCGTCCTTCAGAGTCACTCCCTTCAACCTCTTGCCATGTCTCTTCATGCCAGGATTCACTCTCTGTATCAACTGCTACCTGTTCCGCCTGCTCTTTTCAGAGCATCTTTGGTGTCTACTCCCTGGAAAATAAATCTCAAAGCTTCTAGACTAGCATGTAAGACGTTTAATAAGGATGTGGTGCCAGTTTTCCAGCCTCCTCGTCCCTCCACCCACCCTTCTGTGGTTCTGCCACTTTGGTCAACTCATCATGCTTCTGATTCCAGCCCCTTTGTTCTGTTTAGCCTTTGTTCTGGCCATCTCCAAATCATTGGAGAATTCCATCAATGCAGGCCAGTACAGGTTCTCTTGTTTACTATCTTTAGGAAGGCCCCTAAATCCTGTTTTATTTGATCCAAACCAAAGCATTTTTTATAAAGATTTATTTATTATGTATATAGTGTTCTGCCTGCATGTACACCTGCACACCAGAACTCATTATAGATGGTTGTGAGCCACCAACCATGTGGTTGCTGGGAATTGAACTCAGGACCTCTAGGAAGAACAGCCAGTGCTCTTAACCTCTGAGCCATCTCTCCAGGCCCCAAACCAAAGCATTTAGAGAGCACTTGGTAAGCATAGTGAAGCTCACCTCAACTGAATTCTAGTACAGGGCAGCCCACCCTCCAAGCTGCTGATATGATTCTGTTTTAGAACCTCCCATTGTTATCAAGGCTGTGTCCTCTCTGCCTCTGCCCACCTCCCCTTGACCTCTGCTCTTGGTTGAAAGGGGTCTGCTCACTTCCAGGATTCTCCCGTCACCATGCTCTTCACACTAAACTCCCAATCATTTCACCACTCTGCTGTCTCTGATCTCGAACATGGACCTGCTGTGTTCCTCGAAATACTGTACCATCTCCCCGGGACCAGGTGTCCATTTATTTTTATGTGGGGTTTGTGGTTTTTTGCTTTGAGAGGAGTTCTTATATAGCCCAAGCTGGCCCTAAGCCCACTGGGGTAGCCCAGGGGTGGCCTTGAATTCCTGATCCTTATTTCTCTACCAATCATTTTCTCTCTGTGAAGCTTAAGAGCTCTAAAATGAACCCCTGATGATGGAGTTAGGGATGGTTGAGCCCTCCTACAGAAGTTCATGGCTCAGGTCAAATAGAACTCTTTGCATCTGATTGACAAACTATCTTCCCAGGCAACACATGACCATACAAGGCTCCCATTCCTCATTTTTGAAGTTCTTCCTATCTTCTCTGGGCAAGCAACTCTCAACAGTCTTCCTCTTGATGGAGTGCTATTCCACTCCTGCTATAGCCCCCATCCCTCTGTGCCATCCTTAAAGCAGCGTGCCACCCAAGATCTTTGGCAGACCCCCATTATCTCCCTTAGCCCTGCCTTCCATAATCATTACAGGAAGGATATTTTCTTTGATGTTTTTAAGTTTGTCCAGAGAGAGGATCTCTGGGTAAACTACCATTTCCCGAAGTAGGAAAACCCACCAATCCCTGAGCAGGGAAATTCACCAATCACTGAGCTCCCCCAAGCCCAGGACTTGAAATCCCACCAATCCTCACCCTGGCAATCTCCTCGCTGAAAAGCTCCGCTCCCTAAGAAATCCTATATGAAGGCTGTGTCTGCTCAGTTCTCTGATGTCCTCTCCTGGGAGCAGAGACAGCCTCCCCTGAGTTCATCCTTCCAGTAAGTCTCAGAGCTGCACAGTTCCTGGGCTTCTGAGTCCCAGGGCACCTTTCCATCCGAGCAGGAAGGCCAACACCCCATACAGGACTAGGCATGAGGACTGGCCAGCTTGTCATGTGAAGGCGCCCATCCATTCCTCACTGTGGTAACACTCCCCAGCTGTTTACATAAACCACCCCCCAATCAGTCTCCCATGATTCATCAGGCTCCGGGGACATGAGTCCGATGTCTACTTGTGCTAGCTACTTGAATAAAATCACCTTTCTTTCCTCAACACCTTGCCAAATGGCTTAACTCTCCTGTCGTGTGCTGAACAGCCAGACTTGGATCTGCTCACATTTCCAGGATGGACTAAAGTAGCTGCACACAATTTTAAAAAGTTGTAAACTAGGCCTGGAAAGATGGCTCAGCGGTTAAGAGCATCTGTTGCTCTCTTCCAGAGGACCCCAGTTCAGTCCCCAGCAGCTCACAAAGATCCAGAGGATTCAGTGATGCGATCTTCTGGCTTCCATAACCACCTGTCCATATACGTATGCAAGCCCACACACAAGCCTGCGAGGGCGCACATGCGTGAACGCGAGCAGTGCAACATGATAAAAATCAATACTCAACCACAATCAAAAGAAGTTGTGAAGCTGGCACTGGGGAGGGCGCACTGGAGGCCTTAGTGCTTGGGAGATGGAGGCAGGAAGATGAGTTGAGACCTTCAAGTCATCCTCGGCTACACAACGAGTTCAAAGCCCTGGGATGCATGAGGAAGAAAGAAAAGCCATCACGCTGAGACTTCTGAAAGGACTGCGACCTCCTCCTTCGGTTCACAACCTGGGACTTAGCATCTTGACCTCCTAGACTCCGGTTAAGAAGGTTGGAGCCAGGGATGGAGGCAGGAGCTCGAGTGGTGTGGGGAGCCGGCAGAGGCCCCGTGGCGGGAAGGATAAGGAATCAAGCATATGCTGCGGTGACTTGATAGAGATGCCCTCCACAGGCTCAGGTGTTTGAATACTGGGTCCCCAGTTGGCAAAACTATTGGGGAAGGATCAGGAAGTGTGGCCTTGTTGGAGATGTGTCACTGGGAGTGGACACTGAGGTTTCAAAACCCCACACCACTTTCTGCCTCGTCGTTACTTTTCTGTTTTTGTTTTTGTTTTAGGGGGGTTGTTTGTTTTTGTTTTTCAAGACAGAATCTCTCTGTGTAGCCTGGCTGTTCTGGAACTCACATTCTGTACATCAGACTGGCCTGGAACTCACAGAGATCCACCTGCCTCTGCCTCCCAAGTGCTGGGATTAAAGGCGTGTGCCACCACCACCCATAGTTAAGGAGTTAATATGTAAGCTCTAAGGTACTGCTTCAACATATGCCTGCCTGTTGCCGTGCTTACCACCAGGACAGTCATGATATCTAACCCTCTGTAACAACCCTCAAACCCCCATCTTCTATAGGGTTTCCTGGTCATGGTGTCTCTTCACAGCTATGAAAAAGTAGCTTAGACATCCAACAAGTACCAGGCACATTCACTCCTAACAGAAAAGTGATATGTTCACCCCATTTTTTCTGAAACAGAGACCCATGGGTATCTGAGCTATCACCAGTTGAAGCTCACACAGTTTGTGATAAAGCAAAGAGTACTTTTCAGAAATCTCACAACTGACTTGCACAACAACCAGAATTCCAACACAGCTTTCCCTCTCTACCTCAGCCCAGGGCCTGGGCACTCCACCTGCTCTGGGCACACCTGCTCTGGGCAGCCACCTGTTGGTCCTGCTCTAGATACTGCAGCTGCCTCCACATTCAGGACCCTGAGACATGCAAAGATGGGACTAGCTGTTGTTTGCCACTTTGCGGGTCCCTTTTCCTCTCTTCCACCCTTCTCACCTGTTAGCCCCCTGATACCAAATAGAAAAGAAGGATAGAGGAAAAGGGGGATGAAGTTACTAGACTACCTAGACTACTTCCTGCTGATTAGGGGCTTCAGGTTCCTCTCGGCAAGTTTGACCTTCACTGTCAGGATATCTAATTTGTTCTTCGAGTCTCTTTGCACACAACAACTTGACAAACTGCATCCACGGAAACAACAGCATCCAGCAACCGCCCCGGAAGGAACAGCAGCCCCACTCGGGGCCCTAGCATGTATAGGCCCTCTAGAGTCCCCACAATTCCCAATGTCATATACACTTGCAGAAACTATCTGCAGCTGGCAAAACCACACCCCTGCCATCGTACAAGGCAAATAATAGCTGCTGTGGATGATCTGAAGCAGCCCCATTCCCCACACCTAGGATTAAAACAAAAACATATTCCCATAACATTTCTGTGTTTTTAAAGAAACCAAAATTTCTCACTACAGGGGCCCGCATAGAAACTTGGCCAAAAAAAACAGTTCAGGGAAGGTAGAGTAAAAAGAAAAGAGGAAAGAAGAAGAGAGGGAAAAGGAAGGAGGTTCTAGAGAGATGGCTCAGGAGTTAGGAATCCTTACTGTTCTTCCAAAGGACCCCACTTTGGCCCCTAGCACCCACGTTGAATGGCTCACAACTGCCCGCGGCTTCAGAAAGTCTGTCCAACACTCTCTTCTGGACTCTGTGGGCACCCACATATATGCTGTGCACACAGGGAGACACACATCATACATGTAAGTAAAATGAAAGAGAGGGGCTGTAGAGAGGACTCAGAGGTTAAGAGCACTGGCTGCTCGAAATTCAGAGGCTCCTGGTTCATTTCCCAGCACCTACATGGTAGCTCTTAACTGTAACTCCAGTTCCAGGGAATCCGGCATACCCACACACAGATACTTATGCAGGAAAAACACCAATGTGTGTAAAATAAAAATAAATAAATCATTAAAAATACTTTTTTAGGGATTAGTTTTTATTTTTATTATTTATTACAGTTTATTCAACTTTGTATCCCAGCTGTAGCCCCCTCCCTATCCCGCCCTCCCTCTTCTCCTCCCACGCCCCTCCCCTAGTCCACTGATAGGGACTGACCTTAGCCTATCAGGTCTCATCAAGACTGGTTGCATTGTCTTCCTTTGGTCCTGGAAAGGCTGCACCCCCCAGGGGGAGGTGACCAAAGAGCCAGCCACTGAGTTCATGTCAGAGACAGCCCCTGTTCCCCTTACTAGGGAGCCCACTTGGAAACTGAGCAGCCTATGGGCTTCCTCTGAACAGAGAGTCTAGGTCCTCTCCATGCAAGGTCCTTGGTTGGGGTATCAGTCTCTGTAGGGCTCCTTTTAAAAAAAAAATAAAAAATAAAAAGGAAAGAGAAAGAGAGAGAGAACAAAGAAAAGGGAGGAGGAGGAAGAGGAAGGAAGAGAGAGCCCCTGCCCTAGCCTCGCCCTGCCCCTCCCAGGGGCCAAGCCAGGAAGGCTCTGGGTGACTAACTCAGATGAATTCTGTGGGCTGAGAACACCCACCCCTTGACCAGGGCCAGCAAGGCCAGCACTGGAGGGAGGCTGGGCCTGGCCATATACTTTCCAGGTTAACATCTGGCTTCATTTAACTAGCTCTGTCATGTCCTTTTTACCTTGGTGATGTGGGGTGGTGCGAGAGAGATCCCTCAGGTCTCAGGGCAGCACCACAGCACCAAAGAATTCTATCTGACCAGGTTCAGCAATGCCAAGGCTGAGTAGGCCTGCTTGAGAGCCTTGAGGACGTCACTGCAAAGATGCCATTTATAGCTCCCATTCTACACAGTATGACGACCTTGAAGGACAAGTAGAGGAGGCTCTGTGGCCCCTCCTTTCACTTTGGAACCCTCTTCCATTTCCAAGCTAGAGCCCAAAGTGGGGGTCCAGACAGACCTCTCCCTCCCTTCATGCCTCAAGCAGCCCAAGGCCTTTGAGGTACATTTGTCAGCATGTGTCTGTCAGGATTTAGAATGACAGAGGCTGGACTGAGAGATATTCCCTCCAGTGCAAGCATAGGGACCATAGCTCAAACCCCAGGAAAAAGGCATGGCGGCCACACAAACACACCGTAGTCCCAGCACTGTGGAGGGTAGAGTTGGAAGACCCTGACCGCTAGCTCCAGGCCCAGTGAGAAACCCTGTCTCAAGGGACTAAGGTGGAGGGGGACAGAGGAGGATACCACACATGTCCCTTTAGGCTCCGTGTGTACATAGGCACACATATGTGTGCACGCAAATGTATACATGCACACGAACCCAATAGAAAAGACATGACTTTCTGCACAGGGTAAGCCGTCACCTGGTAT